GCTGTCAAAATTGCTTCTGAAGAGAAATAAAGTTTTAGTGATATTTTGAGATTGTTTCATTAGATGAAAACGTCCAAAGTAATTTTTCATTCAGTAACTGAATTTGATCCTGTCTGGATGCTGTGAAGATCTGATGTTCTCACTGACAGCTTTTCACTGTGCTAGACTTCACTTAATGTAGAGCCTGACCATGAGCATTGCTCAGACAGCAGAGTAAATGAGGTTGAAGGTGTAGTTTCAACCCATCCCACAGCTGTGTCCAGCCAAGGAATGATGGGTTTTCTGGTGGGGTGGGGTGGAACCTCGTGCTGAGAAGCTGCCCTGGCACATGGCTCATGCAGGTGGTTGCCATGAAGGGCTCTTTTCCTCCTGGGTCAGCTGCTTCCCCAATGCAGATGGCCTCCTTCCACACCTCTGCAATTGAATGCAACAGTAAAAGTAGAGGGAGGCCTAAATGTCTAAGGTGCAAGCATTCTTTTTTCAGTATGCTTCCTCAGCAAGAATTACTTTGAATGACATAATACCAAAGGGGTTAAAGAACCATTGTATATTTTGAATTTAGGCTGTCAAAGCAAATATTTTGGCAATCAGTCAGAAGTGGATATTGGGTGGCATGCTGTGAAGAACAGTTCTGTCATGGAATAAGCTTGTCAGGGGATGGAAAACTGGGAGGAGGAAAAAACAGCCGGTTTTCAGTCTCACAAGGGCCTGGTTTGAATTTCTGTTGAACAAAAATGGAAGAAAAGAGGTGAGCAGAGTGCTGGAGGGGAGCTTCATGAAGCACAGTTATTCAGCACAGTCTGTAGCTGCAAAGTCTGCTGTATGGCACAAACATGGTGTTGGAGCTGTGTCAGAATTGTTTGTGTTCATTTGGAAGCTCAGGGAGAGGTATGTTGGAAGGAAAATGTTGACTTCACAAGTGTGACTGAACTGTAATTTATCTCCTGTACTTTATCTGCAATTGTTCCTTACTAAGTCTCACAAAGAAGAAATGCCTCTGCCCCCTCTCGGGTCTGTGAAGTGTCCTACTTTGTATGTTTCTATCTGCTCAGGAAAAGAGTTGTAGGAGAGTGGCCCCTGCCCCCTGTTTGGTCTCACTGTGCTGCTCCATATGTTTCTATCTGTCTGCTCACATGCTCACAAAAGGAGTTGTAGGTGAGTGGCACTCCCATCACTAGTGCAAGAATGAATTTATGCAGTTCTCCCATGAATAAGAGCATGTCGCTCTGAAGATATGTTTTGTACCAGAATGAAGTACTCATTACCTGGGAAAATGCCATGGTTTAAGCCCAGCCAGCCAGCAACAAAGCACCACAGAGCCACTAGCTCACTCCTACCCCCCTCCAGTGGGACTGGGTGGAGAAAATACAACATAAGTCTCAAGGGTCAACACAAAGGACAGGAAGGGCTCACTATGGTCACAGGCAAAAGACAGATTTGACTTGGGGAAGCAAAATCAAGATGATTTAAACAAGAAAACCACTACCAGTTTAGCAATTAAATCCGAGCAGGTACAACTGGATCTTAAAAACACCTTTCTTTCACTCCTCCCCTCTTCCTGAGCTCAAGCTGTGCTGCCCATCTCCGTGTCCTGCCCCAGCAGTGCAGGGGGATGAAGAATGGGGATTGCAGCCAGACAGTTCTGTGTGGTTCCTGCTGCTCTCTCCTTCTCAGGGAGAAGAGTCCTCACATGACCCCCTGCTGCGATATGGCCTCCCTCCCACAGGAGACAGTCCTCCATAAACTTCTACCACTGTGGGTCTCTTCCGCAGGCTGGGGTCCTCCTGGCAACAGGCTGCTCCAGTGTGGGCTTCCCCCCACCTTCTTCAGGAGCAGTCCCCTGCTCTGCCTTGGGGTCCTTCATGGGCTGCAGACAGCACTCTGCTCCACCATTGATCTCTGAGGGCTGCAGGGTCTCAGCCTGCCATCTCGCTGTGGGCCCAGGGGGAATGGCTGCTCTGGTCTGTGTCCCTCCATCCCTCCTCACTGACCTGCGTGTCCACAGGGTTCTCTCTCTAGTCCCACTCCTCTCCCAGACAAAAGAGCTCCCAACACAAAGGAACTCACCCAACAAGTTTTCTCCTCTTAAATGTTATCTCGGAGGCTCTGAGTAGCTCGGCCTTGGCCAGAGGCAGGTATGATTTGGAGCTGGGGGAGGTTCTCAAAGCTTCTTACTGGAGCCCATACCAGTAGCTCCCTCCTCAGCCACCAAAACCCGGCCAGACAGTACAAACACAATACAGACAAGCAGAAATGTGAAGATTTAATTGGAAAGTGATGTATAGTCTTTTGAGCTGTAGTTACCCATGACACTTAGTAGCTTTACTGGCTTTCCCTGTGTTGCAACATAGGGAAGTACAAGTTCCAGTGAAGTCCTGATATTTGGCACACCCTCCATATCATCTTTAGACAGGCTATTTTGCTTATGCAATGCCTTTTCTGGAGATACGCCGTTTTAAAATATTACTACAATTTATTCTTGCACTTGGATTTCAAATGGAAAAGAACCCCATGGTTTGGTCTTCTGATTCTAATATAGCATCCCCCATTTTTAATCAGTGCTATGTTTTTGTGGCTGCCAGTATTCATCTGGAGTTTCCACCTACTTAAGTAAATATGAACTTTGTTCTCATCTGTGCTCAATAAACAGTATTTTATGTTCAGCAAATAAGCAGTAACAGCTATGGTGGGTGTTCAACTCTTATGTCCGTTGCACCTCAGCTAAAATCCTGGAGTTACAAAGTTGAGGAGTTCATGCACCCCATGGGTGTGGTGCTTTCACAGAAATACAGATTCTAGAGCTTTTGGGAACTTCTTTTAAAAAATAAAGACATTTTCTATGAAGTTCTTTTTAATCATGCATATGACATCAGAAGAATGTAAGTTTGTAGTGAACATTTCCTACATTCCAGTTGTTATTTAAAGTGGAAATAGTGAGAGAATTACATTTTTGTTGGCAGGCTGACACTTCAGCTCTGTTATTACAAAGGGTGTAATAACATTTGAGTCATCAGTATGTTAAGTTGCTTGAAAACTTCATGCTTTCTCCCAGAAAAATGTAAAATGAGCTGAGCTGTTACCTCAGTATGGCTGAAAGGACAGCTAATATACTTTGCCTTTTTTAAGACAGTGCTGTAACATCAAAATAATGGAGACAGCTTAAGTCCATATATCTGCTAGTACTAGAGGACTCTGCAGATCTAGATGAGGAAGAGAAATGTGGCTAAAATGTTGTGGCTGATTCACTGCAGCTGTTATAGGAGAGAGTAGAAATTGCTGGATGAAATTCTCAATATGTTGAAGTAAAAAAAATTGCATTCAGGAGGACTAAAATCCAACCATAGGGCTCAAAACTCATAAGAAATTAAATACCAACCCTATGATAAAGCTAAAAAAAAAAAATAAAATAAAATAAAATTGGGGATGTCTGTTTTTCTGGCATCTACTGACCCCTTTGTGTTTGGCAGCAGCACAGCAGCTAGGTCCGGATCTGATTCTTGACTCTCTTGCCTCCAGTTCCATGTCGGTATTTTGGTTTTTGTGAGGAAAACTTGGAAGTGCTACATTCTCATCATGGAGAGGGTAATGTGAGGGCATTTCCTGCTCCCACCCTTGCTTTCAGGCAGCACAGTTTCAGTTCAAGCTCAGAGGCATGTGCGATGACCCGTTTGTTATTTTGAGGCCAGTATTGGAATACGAGTTGGAAATCTCTGCTTGCCTCTTGTGCTGGGGTAAGTGTAACTCTGGGAAAATCATCAGTGGCTGTTGAAAGGCAGCACTGAGGCATGGGGAAAGCCCTGGGGAGCACTTTGGTGCTCCAGTGTGCACAGGACTGTGGGAGGGGACAGTTGAGAGGGGTGGGGAGCTCAAGGCTGGGCGGCCACCTCTCCCACTGGGCTCTGGGCAGCAGCTGGGGTGTCTTCCCTCAGACCCATGAGTGCAGCAGCGTGAGGCCCTGGAGGCTGCCGGCACTGAGGTGTGTGACACACCTGCAGGCAGGCTGCCGTTCTGGAACACTGGTGTGCAGCTGGACGCAGAACCTGAGGGAGCACCGCTCCTGCAAAGCCCAGGCCCCTGAGGGATGGGCTGTGCCCCACTGCAGCCCTGCTCGCCTCCTCTTGGCCACAGTCAGCAGAACCACAGCAGGTTACAACAAGGTTTCTTCATTGCCCCTTGCACCCAAGTGCACGTGGCACGTGGAGCTGTGCCCAGCGTCCTTCCTGAAGGGACACCTCCCTGCACCGGAGGCAGGGGGCCACATGTCTGTGCTGCTTAAACATGTATGAGTGTTTCGCTGGGTAACTGCCAGCAACCTTGGTAATTTTGACTGGAGGAAGATGATGGGGGGGGGGCGTCGTGGTAGGAGTGGCTGGGACCTCTGGGTGTTGCTGAGACCGTTGCTTGCGAAGTGCTTGACAAACACCCACAACGGGATGGGGCAGAGCAGATCCTGCAAGTGCGACCAGGCAGTGGGAGATGAATCACTGCCTTGGGACAAACCCAGGAGGTTTCCAGGAGGCTCTGTTTGACCGGCCTGTGTATGAGCTTTTGCAGCACCTTGGTCTGTGCAAGATCTTGGCTCATGGTAAGGGTGGAAGCGAAGACGTTTTTCTTGCTGATGTGGTGTCTCTTTTTTCTTGTAGGTGTGTGATGTCAAACAGTGGGCAGTCCTTGTGCCGTCCCCCACCAGCCTGCAGCATCATGTGCCAGTATGAATATTAAGAAAGAAAAGTGTACTTCAGAACTCAGCATCCCAGAAAGAAAAAAGGAGGAACTAAACAGAGAGAACAAATGACTGCACTGCTTGCAAAACTTGAGGCTGTTCACTTTTTCTCCTGAGACATTTCATCTCGGCGTTTGTGAAGGAGCTGAAAGAGCAGGCAAAGCAGCCACAGGGATTCTCCTAGAGTCCCGTTTTTCTTTCTTAATTTCATTTTTTTCCCCTCTTGCCTGGATTTTAAGACTGTCAGCTACGCTGATCACAAACACTGGGCATCAATATGTGTCATGTCATTGTAACGTGTCGGTCGATGCTGTGGACTCTCCTGAGCATCGTGGTGGCTTTCGCAGAGCTCATCGCTTTCATGAGCGCAGACTGGCTGATTGGCAAAGCAAAGCCTTCAAGCTCCGAGGATGGGGACAACAGAACGGGGGGCCCACAGGAGCCTTACCATCCGACACTGGGCATCTACGGGCGCTGCACCAGGATCTCCCACGTGCAGCTTTCTAGACGCGACACGCTTTGTGGTCCTTACGCCGAAAACTTCAGTGAGATTGCTAGTGGGTTCTGGCAGGCAACGGCTATTTTCCTAGCCATGGGAATCATGATTCTCTGTGCTGTGGCGTTTGTGTCTGTCTTCACTATGTGTGTGCAGAGTATTATGAAGAAAAGCATTTTTAATGTCTGTGGGCTGCTTCAAGGGATTGCAGGTATGTGCGCTTTGAGAGCAACTAAAGATTTTAATTTGGGGGCCATTCAGCTGAAGAAATATAGCGATTCTGTCCCGTCTACAGACGGACCGCATTAGACAGACCCAAGCAGTTCTATAGGCTGGTGTTTATTCAAACACAACTGAAATTTATAGCTGCACAGCATGTAACACATTGACATTGGCAGCAGAATTGCAGCCTGATGTGTGCCAAAATGAACTGACCAGTGTTGCTTTTGTTTGTTGTTCATGATTTTCCCTATGTTTGAATTTCTTCTAGTAACAAAAACTTCTCTCCTTTGTTACCAGCAGAGAGCAAAGTTAATGCTCACATTAAGGCAGTCTGTCTCCCTCTTGCTACTTTAGTAATTTTCCCATGGACCTAAGGTATTTCTGTCAGAATCTCAAAGGTTTCATGGCTGCGGTGAGAGCAAACACCACTCCAGGGATAAGAGCACCCTGCAGTTGCACACCCAATTCTCCAGAGCTTCATGCTAATCAGCCTCCTTCAAGGCTGTGAGCTTGACAAGCGATACCTTACGATAAACCCTTCCTTTAGCTAGCTTTGTTCAGCTGCAGTTGCACAGCCTAGTGAGCTTTTTATTGTCCCAAGTATCAGCTGTGCTTTGCCTGAAAAGATGAATTGGTTCTAGAGATTTGGTGTTTCTGCTTAAATCCATGGATTTTACAGAGATTACAGAGATTGTTAGAAAACCAACACTGGACAGACCTAGTTAGAGAAGTATTTGGCTTTCTGTACTTGCCAGTGAGCTGTGGGGAGAACCTGTCCCATGGTCAGGTTTCCATCTTTTGTGCTGTGTGCGTGTGGTCGTGTGGAGGAGGAGAGTGGTCTCCTGCCCTGCTTCTGGCAGCCCTCTGAGATCTGCAAGGAGGGAGGGAGTGAGCAGGGCCACCTCCTATGGTGGTTCACAGATGTTTTCAATTCATAAAATGGGTTTTGTTGCAACAGAATTTTGGAGTTTGAACTTGTTTGCTCGAAATGTGAATCCGGCTTCCGGCATTTCACCTCCTCGCCTCCACTGAGGTGGCCAAACACATCTGTGGTGGCTGTACCTAGACAGGAGGTGTTCAGCCAGCTTCTTAAAGGTTTGGTTTCGTTTGCTTAGATGAGACCTAAATTAATCTTATTCTAAACTCACATGGGGAAGTAGGCAAAAACTGAGTTTGTTTCCTGCTGCAGCCCTCCGGGGCCAGCAGCATAGGCCAGAGACTGGCTGACACTGCCTCCTGAAGGGCTAGCACCATGGCTATCACCATCTTCCACTCCAGTGTAAAAGTATACTGCTTATTTCATGCCACTCACAATGTAAGGTTTGTGTGTCTGGGGCACAATTAGATCCCTAAGTTGGTTGAAGGTGCTTCTGTTCACATGGTGATTAGCAGATGAGTGTCCTTCAGACAAAAATCACAAATTTTGCTTCAGTAACTCCTGGTTTACAGAATTTGCTGGAACCAGTGTGACAAAGAAGCAGCTCTGCAGTGCAGATTGAGCCATGGGAAGGTATTAGTTCCTTGCTTTCTTACCCTGTGCTTCAGAAATAATCCATGAAACCTGTTTTTCAAGAGATTACATTTCTTCTTTCCTGTTGGAGAGGTATTTGTATGGGTGAGATTGGTTAGGAGTGAGTGTAAGCAGATGTATGGTATGTCAGACTTTGGTCTGTTGAAAAGGTAGCTTTAGGTAACTTTACTTAAAACTCTGACACTGTCTCAAAAGATTGAGTCTAACATCAAGATTAGCAGGAAGTAGGTTCTTATATCTTATAATACTGTTCTGGAGACTGTATTTTTGAGAAAATATATGTAAAGACAGTTTTATGTTGTACTATCTAACCAGCTGTATCTGTAATGGAACTTATGGCCTCAAGAATTGAACAATACTATCAACGAAACATTTCTTAAATGTTAGAGGATAGATCAGGCCTTCTGGAGCTGTACTGAGGGTAGAAGCAATTCCCTTCTCACATTCAGATAAATGACACAGCATGAAACTGGGTGATAGAAAGGTCACGTTACTGAAACCGTTGCTATGAGAAGTACGTCTGCCAGTATTTAGAGCAGTTGTCTTGTGGCTAGCAACTCAATTTTCTCAAGATTAGTTTTATTGGGTCCACTGATACTTTCATGCCAGTTGCATTACAGCATCTGCTTACTTAGTTGAAATTATTTTCCTTATGACATCACAGCTGGTAATTTCAACTGACTCAGTTTCTGAGTTTTGGGAAATGCTTAAGCAAGTTGTTTGAGAAGGACCATTGTCAGCATAGACTAATTCTCTGACGAGAGAACAAGATACAACCCTGCCTTAATCATCTTAAGTGTAAGATCATTCTTTCAAATGTGAACAGTTATGGTTCTTAATAAGCGTAGGAGAAGCATTCACAAAATAATTTTGTTTACCAGCCTATATCAGTCCAATATTTGCAAGTATGCCAAACATCTTATTTTCAAAGATGAGATGCACCCATGGTAGAGTCATCTACAGGAACTCAGCATCTTGCAGACTTAATCTCATTTAAAATCTCTGTATCTTTGCAGTGGAGGTTTAATATAATTAAAAACATACAACAAGTTAGTTTATTCCTGGAATTCATCATGAAAAAAAAACAGTAACAGATACCAGATACATCTTTTCAATCTAGCAACATTAGTTGTGATCTGGATGATGCCTACAGTGAAATTAAAGAACCTTCTGTTACGGCCCTTGAACAAGTATGCAAACTCTTCCTTGGGTCAACAGGAAGGAGCTATACACATTTGTTTTTTTTTTTTTCCCCCAGAAAATTAGAAAGACAAAGCCATAAAGGAAGAAAGTGTGGATCTTGTTTTATCTTCTGTAATTCTTTTGTTATAGAGTGAAACCTTCTACCCCTTATTTTCATCCTGCAGTACCTTTCATTCTGGAGCTGTAGAAACAGTAATCAGTAATAGTAATCTCCTGGTTTTGGAGATGTTTGAGGATCATTTAATCTGGAAAAGCATCTTTTCTTTGCAATAGAGAGTGGAAAGCATGGAGCCTTGCAATTAAGTAGATAATTACTACCCAGCAGAAAGAAGACAAGGCAGACTTTAATTTCCTCTTTTGGAGGAAAGTATTCTATTCTCACAGTCTGTGAATCACTTGAAATGCAGAGACGAGAAGAGGCAGCATGTTATTATATGGTAGCTGATAAGAACCAATCCAGAGTAAATTCTCACAGTAATCATCTAGTGATGGAAAGTAAATAATGGGTGATCTCCTACTGACGTATCTTGGTATGTATATAGGATAGTTGCATATGTGTGTTCACAGGCCTTATTTGGGCATGGGTACTTACTTCACTTTGGTGCTAAATAATGTAATCTAAGCATTACCTGACCTCAGAGGAGAGTGGAGAGGAGCTGAGGACTGAGCCTAAAAGACATTCGGCTTCTGCCTCTGACACAGGTTCCTCTATGAAGTTCACTGGCAACAAATTTTCTTGGCATTTGATTTTCAACCTGCAAGAGCACAGCTGGGCAGAGCCCAGGTGCCATGGCTGGCTGGGCATGGTCCCTTCCCCGTGGCCAGTGGCTGCCTGACTTGCAGGTGAGCCACAACCTGCCAGCAGCACCCTGGCCATGTTCCAGGAGGCGTGAGATAAATCAGCAGCATAACCATTATTTTAATGGCAAACCTTGAGCAGGCCCTGTGTTTCCTTGTGAGGGACCATGCCGTCTGTGCCTGGGAGGGCTCTGGGGAGAGCAGAGGAGGAAGGCTGCTGTTGTGTCAGAAAGGCACCTGGGCTTGGGGGTTCAGTTTCTGTAACTCATGCTTCACCGCACCAGAGCAGGGCTGCATTGCCAGGCAGGTTTATCAAGAGGGGGTAAGATAGTTCCTCTTCTCTAAAGACAGAAAAAAAAAAAAAAAAACAAAACGTTTAAAAATTGCTTTGTATCAGTCAGGAGACCAGCTGCATCCCAGCCATGCGTGATGGGGTGTCTCTGGTTTGGCCAGGTCAATGCATGGCTGCATTTTGCTGTCACATGTCTTAGGAGTCTGGGCTGCTGGCATTGTGGCTTCAGCAGACACACGTCCACTCAAATGAAGCGGAGGTCTGTGTCTTCAAAGGCTGCTGCAGGTGGGCTGGGTACATGAGGTTTCCCTGGCCACTTTGTCAGAGCCTGTCTCCTTGGGCCCAGATGTGGCAGGTGTGGGCTTCCCTCTCTCACCCCAGCGGTTTCCTTAACATTTCTACTTAACAACCCTACTGTATTCCTGCCCAGCATTCCCTCTTGTACTCCTGCTTTGTTCTGGGAGGTGGCTCTTTTCCCCTGGCACTTTCCTGCTCAGTCCCAAGCAGTGAAATCACTTCCACAGTACTTTCTCCTTTCAGGAACCTCACAGAGTCTCCTGCATTCATTCTTCTGTACTTTCCACAATTCCTTCTTTTTTTCCCTTTTATTATTGTTTATGTACCCTGCAATAGTATGTTGGAGGGTTCCTGCATCAGAAACTATTGCAGCACTTGGGCAATAGTCCAGTTCCAGGAGTCCAACTTTACTCTCAAATGCAAGGAAACTTTGCCACAATTTTCTCAAATGAAGAGGTGAAACCCACTCTGAAGACAGCTGTGTCTGCCCCTAACATTGTCTGTCTGTGCTGCTGGAAGAGTTTGTTGTACATCTCTTGCACTAAGAGATGTACAACATCTCTGTACAACACTAAGAGTGTGTCATCTTACTGATCATGATTCCTGTTTGGGAGGCTGAGTGATGAGGACGGTGGCCCAAGCACAGTATGATGGGATCCATCTGAAGGCAGAGAGGATCTGGAGCTGCTCATGGGGTTGTACGAAGTAGGATCTGGCTGTTCAGGGTTGGCTTATGGTGCGTGGGGTCATGTGGCTGTGCGCTCCTTGATGCTGGAAGGTAAGGAGACCATTGGGAGTTACAGAAGAGGAAGCTGGGGAAGAAGTAGGAGGTCAGCCAGGACTTTAGTCAGAGAGGGGAGAAAACAAA